GTTGCCTACTTCCTCTGCAGTGCATGCTTCAAGCTGCAGTATTGGGCTCTAAATCCTTCTAAATCCTCTAAGAGACTAAAGGATATGGGACTTATAAAAGTAATGTCAGTCTGCTGAACTTTGCCTCCCTAAAATGTTCTTCCTCCCTCCAGAAGCATGCATTTCACAGCAGTGAACCACTACATTAAAACTACTTGACAACCTGGCCAAGCCAATCTATAATAAAGTTTCCTGCAGGGTATCTTCCCAGGCTTTAAAGGAAAGGAATAACCAATACTTAAAAAAACTGAAAAGAAAAAGAAAATAAAGAAAAGCCAGTAAAGGATTTTAATGATACACTTGCTATATTCTTCCTGGGCTAATAATAAAAGTTCTATGATATTTATTTGGATCCTGGACCTACATAGATATCTCCATACACACACACAAAAAGGAACTCACAGAATCACAGAATCATTGAGTATCTTGAGACCAGCTTGTGCACTCCCCAAGCTTAATTAGCCTCAAGCTAGAGGGGGTGGCCCAGGGCCATGTCCAGTTGGGTTTTGGATCTCTCCATGGATCCACAACTTCTCTGGGGAACTTGGTCCAGTGTTCAAGCACCCTTATAGCAAAAATATATTTTGGTATTTTTGGTTCACACACACCCTCCTGTATTTCTGTTGTGCTCGTTTTCTCTTGTTCCCTCAGTGAATACTGCTCAGAGCTCAGCTCTGTTTTTCTTTAGTCCCCACATCGGTATTTATACAGCGATAAAATTCTCCCTGAGCCTCCTGACTGAGAATTCCCAAATCTCTCAGTCTCTCCTCATATGTCAGATGCTCCAAGCCCTTATCTCTGTGGCCCTTAGCTGGACTGACTTGTATATCCATGTCTCCCTTGTGCTGGGGAGCCTAGAGCTGGAACCAGCACTCCAGGTGCTCTTCACCAAATGAGTGCCAAATGAGGAGGAGGGATCACCTCCTTTGACCTGCTAGAAATGATCCCCCTTCTGCTGCCCAAGATGCTGCTTACCACTATTGTCACAAGGATGCATTGCAGCCTCAGGGTCAACTGGCTGTCCACCAGGATCCCAGGTCCTTCCCAGCAAAGCTGCTCCAGCCACAGCCCTATTATACACTATTTAACTATTAAACACCATTAAATAACCTGTAAATGGTTCCATTTCTTCTGTCTGAGCAGGTTATTTTCTGCATCAGGAGACAGGTGCTTTGTCTCCAATTTAGAGAGATAAAAAAGTTTTTCCTGTCAGTTAAAGAATAAAGTATTTTTAATTCTTAAAAATTACATCATTTGTGATATTATATCACAGCTATAGAGTTCTGCTTTTACTTAACCTATTAATAATATGCCTCTTGATTTACTTAGAGCCACAATTACTCACTAGGGATTGAAAATATCTAAACTGGAAAATGAGCCTTTCAATCACTCAGTCTTGGCTCTAGATGAGAAATTAGTCTGAAGCTTGTTCTCTGAGAACATTTTTCTCATTCCCCAGAGGTTCATTTATAAGAACCAAGAGCATTAGTGCCCAGTGTGAAACTGTCTAGATGGGTTTCAGCAAGAATTCAAACCACTCTGTGTTCCCAAAGCATTTCATTCAGTACAGACTTGGGGCTTTTTAAGTTGTGTTTTTTCAGAAACATAAATGGAGGGTAGGTCAGCATAGTACCCCCCCACCCCATTAGCACTGATCCCTTATTCTCATGTCCCAGCACAGAAAACCACTCCCATGTGATGTTGATTTCTGACTCCTCTGGCCCATGTACAACATGCAAGGAGCCTGCTGTGCAAGAACAAAATATCCTAACTTATTTGAAGTGTCCTGCCCCGTGACACATTTGAGTAGAGGTGGGAGGGAGTATCCCTGACAGAAGTGTGTAAAAGCACACAGCCCCTGTTCAGGCAGCAGTTGCACCTAATCCAGAGCATATGATTAGGGGAGTCACTTTTCCCCTGGGCCTGCTATATGGGGCTTGACAGAGGCAAGGGGAAGTGACTGCACGCCCATAATTTCCTTGCAAGACGGAGTTATAACAACAGTGAAGAAATAAATCCAGGCAATAGTTTTTCTAAAGGTGACACAACTGTGTGTGGATGGAAACACATCTTTGCAAAGGCTCTCTCAGTGCAAAAGGCCATGATGCTGTACTCAGGGGTTGACCTGAGGGCTCAGCCATGCCTGCTGATACCATTGGGATGCCTTGCATTGAGCAGGCTGCCACAAACAGGTCTCACAACCAGGGCAGAGGAGGACAATACAGCCCTCCCTGTATTCCTGGAAGTGGGGTCTTTTCAGCTGTCTGGCTCAGAGCACAAGGTCTGAAAAGCATATCAAGTCACTGTTCATAGCACCTTGGAGAGCCAAGCAGGCTGCTTTCCATATATTTTGCTTGTCTAGATTATTAAAGCTCCTGGTTTAATGAGATCTGTTTAGATTCCAAGCCCTTAAAGATCCAGGGCTCTTCCACAGCCATCCTTTTAAATTTCCCCCACAAGGAGTTTATTCACTGACATTTTTAAGCCGACTGATAGGTGAGCATTGCTCTCTGGGTGGTTGTCTGTCTTGTAACCTGACACATAAATGAACCCCTCTCTGTGGATGTGTATATATCAGATAGCTCTTGACAGACCATGTTATTCTGAAGTTCTTCAGTAAATTCCATAAGCACCAGCTGTTCACTCCAATCACTACACCCGTGTCTTAAGGATTAACTTATTGTTAAAGGACAGTAATAAATAACCACTTCAGAGCTTTGGGGACATTTTATTTGTTCTGTCACCTACACCAGCATGGCAATATTCATGCATGAGACAGATGTTTATCCATGATAATTTACATAGAGATCCTGACTTCTGCAGTTTGAGAATAAAATGCACTCCTGGGAGAAGAACAAGTTTTGATATTTTCTCTCCCCTCACCTCCCTAAGCCTTTCAGAAATATAGTTTCTAATTAGGAAAGGCTCATGGAAGCCATCGTTTTGAGGCAATTAAGGCTGTTCCTAAGCCAAGTGAAAAGGATTGCTGAAATGCACGACCCAGGCTACTCACAAAAACAGTAAATTCCTGTGTGAAAGCAATTAAGAAAAGAAACACACATTCTCAACACAGCAAGGAAATTCTGGTGTCATAGGAAAGAACTTCACATGAACTCCAAAAGTTAAAGTATCTCAAAAATGTTTAAAATTCTTGCTTTGAAAAAAGTTTGAGTATGGAAGAATGGTGTTTTTATCCCAAATTCTTAGAAAACCTCTTGCTCCTTAAGTAAATACATGAGGAGGACGCAGACAATACTTCCAGGAAAAAACTAATAGATGAAACTTGTCATACACATGCCATAAGGTTTCTTTTGCCCCCACTCCCCCACCCCCAAAAAAATAAAAAATAAAAAATAATAAAAGGAAGAGAAAGGGGAAGACAAAATTAAAAATAAAAAAGAAAGCACCACAATTTTCTTACATGTTAGATTTCAAATAATCAAAGACATTCAGAGTTTTGGTATAACAATCTTGAGAAGTATCATTTGCCTAAAAACCTAGTAAGGATTACTGGCAAATTTTCCCCAGATTCCCAGTGCAGGGTATTTGTAAACCAAATCACCTGAATTAATTACCCTTTCTCAACTTGAAGAGTATAAATGAGAAGTCAACAGGGTTACTATTTGAGAAAGTCTCGTCTCACCACTTCAGACTGCAGCATTGGATTCTGAGAACAAAATGTTGTTCAGTGACAACCCCTGCATAAAATCTTGTCGACCCTGGCTATACAATGAAATCCCTTGAATTTTCAAATGTGTTAAAGCATATTTTGTGTGCATAGTCCCAGACTGACAGTGTGTTAACTACAGTCACTGGTCCTGTGTGTGGTCATTTTGAATTCATAACACATTTCTCACTCTGAGCTTCCATTCAGAAAATTGGAGGAAGGAAAGTAGTCTTCCTATGTAAAATGCTTTGGCATTTGAAATGGAAATAGTGGCATTAACAACTATCAGCATATAATGGTAATATTAGTAACATACAATTTAATAAAAGTTAAAACTAGTGAGCACCAACTATAGCATTTATCAGCAATAATCTTTTGCCTAACATAGAAATACAGACACTAGTTGCATTTAGAAAAGGAAGATATTCAGACCACTCCATGAATTCCATCTTAGCAAAACCACATTTTTTTAAAAAAAATAAAATGTGCCAGTTTTCAGTGACTACACCAAATTATGTGGTAAATAGATGGTTAAATTCATCCAGTAAAATCTTAACACTAGTGAAGGCAGGTTGAATTTTGACACTGACATAGAAACAGACAATTTTTCTTTGTTTTTCAGAAAAATCCTTCAGTTGCTTGTACAATTTATAAGTATCATATTGAAGGACTAACATTGGGTCATTTTGATGTTTAAAATATAATAGAAAGAAATATAATGAAAGAAATATAATTAAATATAAGAAATATATTTTTATATAAATAGAAATATAGAAATATATAAAGAAAGAAATATAATGAAAGAAATATAATGAAACTTTAAAACTGAGAAAATAAATAGCACACCAGCTTATTAAACTTTTCATCGTTATAAAAAATGTAAAAGCTTTGTGTTAGTGTTTCTTTAAATCCATTTAAAAGATTAAATTATTCATTTAAATCAATTTAAGATCCCCTATTCCACAGTATCTGGCTCTTCAGAGTGGTAAATCTTCCCAAAATGTGTTAAAAAGGCAGGGAATTATTCATCAGACCAAGCATGAAACCCTAGTTACTGTATGGGGAAAACCTAAAAATCATATTTTCCATTGCCTAATGCTTCCAATTTTCTGTTGGTTTTCTTAAATCTTTAAAGCCATTTTACAGTGGATTTGGGAAGAAAATTTGAAAAGAATTGGAATTAATATTTTTCATACAATAACACAATATGTGGAAACCCAAATAAAATAATAATTCCAATTACTTCTTCAAAAGGAATGCATTTGTGATTAAATTATCATGCAGTGGACTAGTGATCTAATAAGCTGTATTTCATTTCAAAAGTTTAAAACTATTTTTGATCAAAGATTTTCAATTTTTACCAAGGAATAACAATGACAGAGGGAACTATAAGTATGTGAGAGCAACATTCCTCTGTCACCCATTTACAGTGGCTTTCAGTTTTGGAGGGCTAGCAATTTGAAATGTCTTTGATCACAGTATGGTATAGTTTTAAAAAATGGGAGAAACACAACTCTAAACTTTCTGCAAAATGATCCCAGGCCTCAAAGACAAAAACTGTCACCATAAATACAATATATCTTGTGTTCTGCTATTTCCTCTCCCTCTGCCATAATTTGGCCCAGCTCTGCCAGGAAGTGCTTTTATTTTCCCTTCAAAACTTTACACTGTCAAAAGTATTGTTAGTATCATGATCTAATGCTTTTGTTTAACTGAGAATAGCATTCTACAGCTGTAGGATAAATTAATATATTCAAATGCATTAAATGTACCTATTACAAGCTTGAAGTAAATTGCCATCTTTGCCTGAAAAATACTCTCTTAACAGAGCAGACTTTTTTTTCTCTCATTCACTGGCTCCTGAATGATACTGGATCTTAAATTACATTGACAACTTTTCCCATTTTTGATTGGCCTGAGTTTGATTTTCCAACTCTGTTTGCTAAAGAAACAGAATGGGCTGACAGTTTTAGGATGTTGTCAACACAGGTTCATTGAGCCGGCCAGCATAAATCTTGCTGAGAGTACTTGTGCCAGGTATGCTGCTGCATCAACATTTAGCACTTGAGACTGGAAAGAGACCCTGGAACCTGCCAGAAACCTACACACACACCCTTCCCAGTGCCTGTGGCAGCTCTTGGGGCCCAAGTGACAAAGGAGAGAAGAAGTTCCCACACAATCTATAAAACACCGTGGAAAAGCCTCAGCCCTGTTCCCACCACACAAACCCTCAAGTGTTTTTTAAGAAGGTTGTTTTCTCCATTGCTATTATTCTTCTCTATGACTTCTTGTTAACCAATTTTACCTTCACCCAACAGTATCTTAGCATTATCTTCTTTCCTCTGAAACAAAAAAAAAGGATTATTTTTTGTTACTGCAAAACAATAATTATTGGTTTTAGGAGGTTTCACAGAAATAAATTCACTTTCTGGAAAGCTTAGGGGGAAAAGTAGGCTCCCTATCACCAAAAGCCTGGTACTTTTACAGGATTGCAATGACATGCAATTTCCTCCCTTAGAAAAGCCAAACTAATGTTGAAATTGCAATTTTAGAGAAATAGTCTCTAGAAGACATAGTCTCTAAAAGTCAAGTCAAGCCTGTAAGTTTTACCATTCCTCTGGTAGTGATTTTTTTCATGATGCATAAAGCAGCTTTAATGCTGGAAAAATACAGAAGAAATTATGGGGCCACAGCTCAGAAGTCCAATAAGGAACCTCTAGAGGTGTGTCATTTAAGTGCTTCCTATTATTCAACAGCCCAGTAGTTAACTGGGCATTTTTCTGACTAAGTGAAGGCACACAGATGGCCATTTCCAGTAAAGCAGTCCACACCCAAGGGTCTCAGACAGAAATGAACCCTAGCTTCTAGTTCATTAACTAGCTCATGAACTTTGAATTATAGAAAATCTCTTCATTCCTTGATCCTGCACCTGACCTTTTTGTACCTTGGGCTTGACCTCAGCCTCTACCCACCCTCCCACCTCCTCTCAAGCAGCACCTGTCCGTGGAATAGTTCTTACAGCTCCTTAGGATGTTCTGAAGGTGAATGTCTATTTGGATGTTCATGCCATGAAGTACAATTTGGCTGCTTTCAGCTTACCTTTAAGATATGTCTGTTCCAAATTTGTTTAGAATTCTTCTTGAAACAAACTTTACTTCTTTTCCAAGGCTAATGCTTTCGTTTCTCTTTTTCCTTCCACATGGTTTGTGCAGTGCCATGGCTTTTTCAGCTCTCCACAGCAGAGTGTACGAACAGGGCTTATGCTCGAAGTCTTCCCCTATCCTCCTTTGCAGCTGTGGGGATCTTGGTCTTACAGAGTCAGCATTTTCCCTGTAACCATTGTTGCCACCAGAAAATATTTTAATTATTCATAAAAAAAAATTACCTGATACATGCGACTCCCTGGAGAGTGTCAGGGGTTTTTTACCTTTCTGCATGTTCACCTCATGTAGACAAGAACTTCCAGTGGACATTGGTGGTTTCATGTTCTTTAGGAGATCCATTATGTGTTCAAAGCACAGCACTTGGGTTATTTTTCTGTTAGCTGAACATGCTGTGAATTCAGTGGTTTTGGAAACCGAAGCAAGAAAATAAAAAACAACGAACAAGAAAAGCCAATAATGCAGGAGATAGATCTGAAAGCAGAACAGATAAAAGGATTAACTTTCTATAAACAAAAAAATTCTCCCTAGGTAAATGAGCCACTGAGATTGTTTGTAAATATCCAGATGGGTTTTAGATTGCAGAGTGCAGCAGCTCCATTTCATCTTTAGAAAACAATCTTACATATTTTGTAGCACTATCATTAATGAACAATATTTGCTAAAATCAAACAAGCTGGGAAAGAGTTTGGTATTGATAGCATGAGATAGTACAGTACCAAAACGTTTTCATAGCCTGTAAATTCCTCTGATCTGCCTGCAGAATCAAAAAGCTGAATGGACTTCAAATACCCTAAACATTTTAGCTAATCATTTAACATATTTCCTACCATTCTAATGAAAAACGTAATTTACTACAATTACAGTTTAATTACTTCACCCTCAGCATACTCTCTTATATGATATCTATCAGATCTAATTATTTCCTTTCCATTTGAGTTTAATAAAAAAGAAATTGGGCCAATGTAATTACAAGAGTAAATCTAGATATAGTGGAGTAACACAGCTGAGTTTTTATCATGCATCTACTGAGGCACTGCTAGCTTAAATCAGGGAAATTTGTACTTTGGAAGACACCCAGGAATTTTAGTTGAAATAAGACCATTCAAATTCCACTACATTTTCTCTTAAAAGCCTTAATGAGCAGATCTAAATCTCCATATAAACCAATGAACATGTATTGCGACTGAAAAGCAACACAGGGCACCGTTCATGACCTGAAAATGAAGTTGACTAAGCTGTTGCAGTCCAGTAACAAATATTTGAATCACAATTTGTAGAAAACAATCTGGTACCCTCAAATCTCTCAGTAATGCAGTGTTTTGATAGTACTGTTGGTCAGGAAATTTCTTTCAGACCTGCTTTTACGATTGGCACTCCTCCAGCTTTGATATTTTCACGACCAAAAGAAAAAATTAATAATAAAGTTTAAACTACTTGAATTTGCATTTGCTTGTGACGATTTATTTTCTCAAGGCACTGAGATTTCCTCTGGCCCCTGGTTCAGAAAGCACAGGATGGTTCAGCCTCTGTCTGGCAGGACCTGTGTGTTGTGAGGCTGTAGTTACAGCAGAGATACAGCCTCCAACATTCACCTAAATTCCACGTTTCTGGAAACAAGGCAGCAACAGAGATGCAAATTAATGATGAAACTGCTAGAAAATAAATATTTTCAAATGAACCCTGGGAAGATGGCAGAAATATTATTAAGCTAATAATAAATGGCAGCATGAACTGTTCTGTTTCATGAAGGTCTTGTTCTGTTTTGATAGAAAATATCAAAAAGAAAGTCTCATCATTTTCTAATCTCCTTTTTGTGCCCTGCAGAAATACCAGCATTTCTTATTGAAGAGAAAATCTAGTTTTCACTCTGCAATGGTCATCAGTAAGTTTGGAAAAGGATTTTATTTGCAGAATAAAAGTCTTAACACTGATGATATCCCTAACTTGAAGGTCCTAAGGATGGTGGAATTGGGTTGGGGTTTTTTTTCTTCTCTTCAGAACAGTAATTTCACATTCTTAAACTCAATTGGTGCTTCTGAAGATTGAGACATATTAGTTGTTTTTCCTTACAAGCACATTCTTATTTTTTTCTCTTGCTTGTGTTGCCTTCCCAGTTTGACCCATCATATAGGGTTTTTCATGGCAAGGTTTTGGTAGAAGGCGTGGCAACAAGGGTGACTTCTCTGAGAAGCTGCTGGAGGCCTCCTCCATATGTGACAGAGCCAATGCCAGCCAGCTCCAGAATAGACCCAATGCTGGAGAGAGGGAACAGTCTGAGAACATGTGAGAGGGACAGTCCTGCAGACAGTGCAGCAGCAGTGGTGGGTGGAGAGGGGGAGACAGTCCAGGCACCAGAACAGAGATTCCTCTGCAGCCCATGGGGAAGACCATGGTGAGGTAGCTGTTCCCCTCCTGCCCATGGAGGTCCATGGGGGAGCAGAGATCCACCTGCAGCCTTTAGAGGACCCCACACTGAAGCAGCTGGATGGCCAAAGGAGGCTATAACCTTGTGAGAAGCCCACACTGCTGGAGCAGGCTCTGGGCAGTATCTGCACACTTGTGGATAGAGGAGCCCACACTGCTGGAGCAGTGTGCTCACATGATTTGTTGTCCCATGGGCAACCCATGCTGCAGCAGCATGTTCCTGATGGACTGTACCCCATGGATGAGACACACGCTGGAGAAGCGCTGAAGCCTGTGGAAATGACCCAAGTTGGATAAGTTTGTGGAGGACAATTTGCCATGGGACAGACTGCATGCTGGAGCAAGGGAAAAGTGTGAGGAGTCTTCCCTCCATCTGAGAAGGAAGGAGCAGGAGAGACAACAGATGATGATCTCACTGCAGCCCTCATTCCCCATCCCACTGTTCCACTGAAAAGGAGAAGGTAGAGAGAACTAGGAATAAAGCCTGAAGGGAGGATGGAGCAAAGGGGAGGTGCTTTTAAGATTTTGATTTACTTCTCAATATCCAATCCATTTGATTTGTAATAAATTTAAATAATTTCCCAAGCTGACTGTTTTGCCCATGATGGTAATTACTGAGTGATCTCTCCCTGCCCTTATCTCTAGCCACGAGCTATTCCTTACATTTTTCTCTCCCGTTAGCTGATGGGGGGAGAGATAGAGCAGTTTGGTTGGGCGCTTGTCATCCAGAAAAGGTCAAAACACCCATCCCATGCAGTTTCATGCCATCCTTGCAAAGTTTTCCCAACTGCTGGGTGGAATTTGTAAAGATTTGTGAAGATCAGGCTAGTGGCTATTTCAGAAGGGTGCCTTTTCCTCTCCATTGTGCAGTAAAATATCTTTGCATTCTTCAATGACCTTTGCAACATTATTTAATCAGTCCATTATCCAGAAAAAAACCCAACACTTCAGTCATCTTTCTCAAATATACAAATATTCTAAGTGTAGCTGAATACCAGCAGGATGAAAAAGCTGTGAGTCTTAAATCTCCATATTACTACACTTTTGTCACCCTCTTATTCTTTTTTCTTTTTTTTTTTTTTTAGTTAAAACCGTTGCTCTTCATTCTCAATTGAACAACAAACAAGTTTGACATACTTGGCCTCAGTTTCAGTTGAAAAATTTTCACCTCATATTGGCTTTTCTACACAGAAATGAAATGGGTTATCTGGTCTTTAATAAAACTGCCTGTGGATCATCAGTCTGTTAAGTTTAAGATTAATCAACACGTATTTACTTCAAACAAGAGCAGAAGCTGGATTTTTAAAAGCATTCAGCAGCAGTTGTCTCTGTCCTCATTGAAGTCTATTGGCTTCTGCTGATGAATTCAATGAGCTGAAAAAGCCATTTAAGAAATCCCAGACTGTGCCTTACAGAAAAAATTAATGGTTAAAGAGCACCTTCATATGATAACCTGGGTCATTTCAATATCCAGAACTCTGAAGCTCATAGCAATTTCCTTTCCATACAGAAGTGTTGATATCCTCTCAAAAAGGCTTTCAGAGTATTTCCCAAATTTCTCCATAAAGTGCAGAATTCAGTGAAATAAGACAGCAGGAACTCTTCTGTTACCCATTAAAAAAAATATTTTGAGGGTTTTGCAGTTTTGATACCTCAACAATTTCTTTTTCTGTGCTTGCTACTGAGAAAAGTAAAGTCTGCAGAAGAGAAATTAAACAGTTCTGATAACTCCTGTCATCAGATATGGCTCAAAACTTTCAATCTTTCATAACATTAAGTATCATAATATAGAGGAAATGAACACATTTTATGTATTTAATGCATTTTATAGATTTAATTTTGTCTCTTAAAATCACATCTTTGTGATTGCCTTGAACAGTTCCATGGATGAGGCATCCACAGCTTCTCTGGGCAACCTGTTCCAGTCCCTCACTGTGCTCACATTAAATTTCTCCCTAGCATCTCATCTAAATATCTCCTCTTTTGCTTCAAAGCCATTCCTCCTTGTCCTGTCACTATCTGCCCATGTAAAAATCACTCTCCCCAGTATAAGTGATCTGAGATCTTTGTCTTGGTCCAAACCACAGAATCTTAAATTTTGGAACAATAAATGCCACTAAAATTTGTATGAAAATAGTAAGTGTAAATATGGTTATTACACAATTCCAGGACATCTCTAATCACTTATGCTGTTGGCTTTCCATTATTCTTCTCTCCTCTAAGTAAGAAAGTGTTAGAATTTATACTCTATGAGTTTTCATAAGATAACATTCTGTTCTAATTTTAGAACTCATCTCTTCCTTCATTTACAGCCATAAATACAACAGATGTGATTCTCTCCTAGGTGGAGATGCACTGGACTTCATCACTGCCATCACCAAGGTTTTTTTCCAGGGAACAACAACAGCATTCAGGTCCATCTCAGGTTCTCTAGCAAGGCTGCCAGAGAATATTGTTCAGAAATTGCACTGAATTCCCTGGGGTTACCAGAGAGAAAAGGCAATCTGGTCCATTGCCACTGCATCCTTCATTAACCTCCATCAATTTTAACATTTACACCTGCCATTACTTTCCTGCTGATAGAGTCTTGGCAATGCTGGCACTTCCAGGACATTCCTGCCAGCTGGGTTTTCCTGACAGCATTCATTAGCAGGTAATTTGCCAGTTACTCTGAAGGACCATGTTGTGTTCTGTGGTTTGAAGATCTCTAGCATACACCTGTTCTGGCTAATTGAATTCTAGCAACCCTTGCTATAGTTACTTTCATTAAAGGATGCTTGCAGCCTGTTAAAAGAACAATTAAAACACATCCTTTTCTACTTGCAGATTAAAAAATCTGCCAGCTTTTTATCCAGCTATGCTCAGTTGCAGATACAGGAGTCACACAAGCCTCTCTTGCTGTAAAGTTTTCAGTGGGTTTTCTTTTTACTTTGTTTTACTTTTGCTTACTTTGTTTTGCTGCCATTGTTCATTGTGCAAGATGGAGCTTCAGAATGATAGAATTTCAGTTTTTCAGTTTTTTGACACTCAGTCTGAGTGT